ACCGGGCCCTGCTGACTGGTTGCACCATGCAAACAGGCAGTCCCAAGCGCCTGCATGCGGCCGCCGTCGCGTCATGCCGGCTTCGCTTGGAACCCCTCAACCTGGCACTGTCACGCCGCTGCAGCCGCCCACTCGCACGCCCCTACTTCCCTCGAATGCCGCGCCCATTCGCGCTCACCGCCGAGCCCCCCGCTCGCCCTCCCCTGCGCGGCGCGGCCCCAGCCCCTCAGCCCGTCTCCCCTCTTATTCGGACCCACCTGATCACCGTGGTGACCGACTGCGACCCCGTGTTGCCGCCGTGGCCCATGATAAGCGGCACGAAGAATGACAGCTCCACGTGATGCTCTAAAACGTCCTCGAACTGTTCGACTACCAGCGCTGCCAGCAGCAGGCCCACGCAGAAGGCGACCAGCCAGCCGGTGCGGCCGCGGGCGATGTCCAGAATTGTCTCACGGCTGTTGGGGGTCGGTGGCCCGGGGACACCAAGAGGGAGAGGGGGGCGGAGCAGGTGCTCTTGCTGCTGCTGGGGCGGGCAACACCATCGCGGCGTATCTCGAGATGTGTTGAGCAGATGCGATCTCATGCAAGCATTTAAACAAACAGCGAAGCGCCAGCATGGAGGCACCATGCGCTGGGGCGGTTGCCCGCCTGCTTGTGCAGCACTGATGCACGCTGTGGCGCTTGGTGTTGAGCTCACCCATAGTCGTCCACTGTGTCCTCGTCGTCAAAGCGCGCCCCTGCACCTTTCCTCTTGATGGCCCCGCCTTCGACAGATATAGCCCCCAGCGTCATGCGCGACGCTGCTGGTGCTTGCGAATCGTCAAGGCTGGCGAGGCTGTCGAACGGAGTGCCGCTGGTGGTTTCTCCCTGCTGCTGATTGCGTCGTCGCTGGTTGACGGCTTTGCGTGCAGACCAAAGAGCTCCCTTGATGGATTGCGTCCTGACTGATACTGCAGAGCGCCTGCAGCGGCACTGCAACTTTGAGCCAGCGTGGTTCATGCCAGACACGGCGTGGGAAAACAAATTTATGGTTGAACTCAAGCCCTTGAGGAATCTGTCAAAGTACCGTATGCAGCTGGTTTCCTGGTTCCAAGGAGGGATGTCGATGTAATGCTGTGCTGAGTGTCTACGGTACCTATTGTATCGGCTATCGTCGCTGTGCATGATATAAATCTTGTACAAACTCCAATGCACCACAGGGTTGCCCGAAATCCGGACAGGGGGTGCAAACAAGTTTTCGCTGCGATTTCCGGGGCCGGTGTGCACACCGCACACAGCGCTCAAAAGAGATAAAGTGAGGGTGGTTGTGTCGTGTATGTTTACGCAGTTTACCTGCATGTGCATCGCCACTGGTGCTGGCGGTGCAAGTCATGGGCAGCGGCGACGGCGAAAGGCGGGATGCACAATGGAACCAGGGCAAGAAGTAATGAACATGCTCGCGTACATACAGCATAATACTACCTGCAAGTATAGATGCAATATGTTCGCAGTCAGCCAGCAGACACCACTACGAGCCGTTGGCGCGGCCTAGCACTCAATCATCTCAACTATGCAAAATACTCCAGCATATATAGATATATACCTTACGAATTGGTCCTCTGACCCACGGCCCGTGACACCTGCTATGACACCTGCTAGGCAACACTCACTGAAGTGTCAAGAGCGTGCAGCTGCTTACTGGCATCCTACTCGGGGCATCAGTTGATTCCACACCCCCAAAGATGTCACGAGGGCCCATGCTGACGGATCACTGAAACGTCAGGGGCCACAACACACACACCCAAGCCACACAATGCAAACTAGAAAGTGCATACGGCTTGCTGCTTGCAATTATGAGAAATTGCATACAGCTTGCTGCTTGCAATCATGAGATGGAATTTGGAGTGGAGTTTCCTCTCTTCCTGAACACCAAGATTAGTCCCCTTGCATCAGATACATACGCGGATGTCACGGACAGCAATGGCCCAACAACGATGGCCAGCAAGGCAGAGAGTTTTGAGGGCTGCCAGATGTGTATCATGGGCGCGTGCATGTACAAGTCGTACAAGCTTCGAGAGCTGCAAAGGTGATGAGGGTGCACCTGCAAATGCATCTTAGGCAGGGTGTGGAGCTTCAGGAGTGCACCTCAGGGGACGGCCGGGTTGGCCGAGTGGTGATCGGCGGCTGTACTAAGCAACGGGACATGCCCTACCCAGCGCAAGACAGAAACTGGCGGCACTTTCTTGGGCAAGGACAGCAAACTCGGGTTATGCTGGAGCAACCGCACGGGAAGGCCCACCGAGCAGCGTCAGCTAGGTGGTCATCCCCCAGCACAACTCGTTGCAAGGGGGGCGCTCCTGCTGGTGCGGCACCTCACACGTGCTCTTTCCGCGTCTGCAGGGGCTTGCAGTATGCGTAATGCAATTCGTTCGTTTTGATCACATGCCGGTCTACTGTGGGGCGCGATCTTGCTGCTGAGGCAGGATGCGGTGAAGCCTCCTTGCCAGACCACCACACTCCCACAGCTATAGAGAAGATGCTATAGGACGTTACCACAGAAGTATGTTATCCGGCTTTCACAATTGTGATACGAGAGATTGAAAAATGCCAATCTGCACATGTCCCCGTAGCACCGTCATCAATTAGAGCGTCTAAAAGGCGAACTCAAACAACAAAAGCAACGTGAATCATTTAAAGCGATATGGTCACATCAGGTACGCTTCTCACAGCCAGCCACCTGTGCTGCGCATGTGCCCGGGGCGTTGGCTGGGCAAGCCCCACGAGCAGCGAAACAGCAGGGTAAGTGTCCGCGTGTGTAATTCCGCCACCTATTGCAGTTGGTACGTCGGCTAATGGGCTCCTTGATCGGTGGGCAAACTCGCCATGGCCCTCGCCCTGGCATGTTCCCGACGTAGATTTGGGCTGGCTGGAGAGGGGTGATTTGCCATGTCTAAGGGTTTTGGAACAATCTTTTACAAAAATATTCGCCCCTACGCGAACAGTTGCTGATGCGCAGTGAAATTTGGGTTGAAGATGAGCAGGGCGTTTGTTCGGCAACAGGTCATGTAGCGGTGTCAGTTGCGTCAAGCCCATGTCCTCTACCGAACCATTCCATCATATCAGACAGTCTTGCAACACCAAAACGTCTCAAACGCTGTCACACCCGCGGCGACACCGCGCAGGACTTGATCCCGAAGCGGGTGAGCTCGCCTCTGGGATACACGTAGACTCTGATTTGAGTCATATGAAGATCCCGCTGTGGCTGCTCGTGGGGCGGGGCTGCTTGCCCCTGTACACACCCCAACACTGGACCAGGCCCAGCCACGTGCACTTGCGCAGGCATCAAAGCAAGCCAGGCCCACCACTGGCCCGTGCCCTGCCCTTACTTTCAGGCCATTCAAAAGTCCCTTATGGCTTTCAATCCGCGGCGCAACTCCGCGGCGGCGGCACTGGCCGTCGTCTTGGTGACGTGCCTTGTGTGCTCTGCGGTTGCGCAGTGCAGCCCGGGCGAGCAGCCATCGGGCAGCAGCAACTGCGTCCCCTGCACTGGCAACAAGATCTCGCCCGATGGCGGGAAGTGCGTGAAGTGCCCGGGTCGATCCACCGCAGACGACAGCAAGACCAGCTGCAGTGGGTGTCGCCCAGCGCTTTTGACGGGCTAGTTTGGGCCGCGCTTGCTTGCGTGCCTGCTCGCGCGGGCAGGGTGCGCGCACGTCCGCCGAGCTCGCGCACCATTGAGTATGTCGCATCACACAGATAGAATAAATTCTCCTCAATCCGCGCACCTTGCAGTCTGTGGCCCCGGCTCTACGGATGACGGTAACGGCAGATGCGTGTGCCTGCCTGGTTACGGCGGGGGCTCCTGCAAGCCGGTGCGCACGAGGGGGGGCATGGCGCGGCCAGCTGCAGCCTGCACCCGGTGAAGCAACGGCCTGCCAGACTCCTCTTCATGTCTATCGACACGCCCAGATGTCGCATGTGTGGCCGATTGACGTGTGTTGGCAACCCCCTGCGACGTGTGTTGGCAAGCCGCCGCCCCCATACGTGGCTGCCTGCCCAAACGCCTTGCAGTGTACCGGAAACAAAGTCTCTACCGGGGGCACCAACAGGGGCTGCACATCGTGCGGGCCACGCAAGGCTCCAAACAGTGATCTGACCGCCTGCGGTGAGCCGCCACGGAACTCTGCTCCAGCCGCTGCAGACAGGCCTGTCGCGCCTTGTGCGCGCACCTACCTTGCCTGCAAGCACGCACGTTCATCCCACCCACACCCGCTCCCACCAATGGCCCGTGCTCGCAGTTTGCGCCGCAAACGTTGTTGATGACGGCGCCTGCGACAAGTGCCTTGCCGGCTACGGGGGCAACAACTGCAAGCCGTGTTCCAGGAACAAGTTCTCTGATGGCACCAGCCGCACATGCACGTCGTGCACCCGCGGGTCCACGTCGTCAGACGGCGTCACCTGCACGTGCAACGACGGCTCACTTACTTGGGACGCGTCGTCAAACACTTGCTCGGACAATGGCGGCGGCGGCGGCGGCGGCAGTGGCGGCGGCAGCGGTAGCACTTGCCCCACCGGCAGCATCAAGAACAACGCAGGCGTCTGCGGTGGGCCCCTGGAAGCACTGCGTATCCTAGATAGACCGAGGCGTTGGTGGCAGCTTCAATTATCCTGCCCACCACTGCAGTTGTTTGGCAGGTTCGCCTGTGCCCCAGCACACACGTGTTGCGCCTGCCCGCATCCATTCCATACCACACCCTCATGGCCACCGATTTCAAATGCCTGCGCTACCCTTCCCACAACCACCACTCATCAGTCTGCACTGACACCACCAAGGAGGTCTACAACAACGCGTGTGTCCCCAAGTGCGCTGCCGGCTACACACGCAATAGCTCTGGCGTTTGCGTCCTCACCGGCAGCGGCGGCGGTGGCGGCGGCGGCACTGGTACCGGGGCATTCAACATCCAGTTGGTTCGCATCGGCACTGACAGCAGCCAGGACGCAACATTCCAGGTGGGCAACCGTGAAGAAGGTTGTTTTTTGTGTGCTTTGATGCGGGCGGGCGCGCACGTGCGTGTGTGTGTGTGTGTGTGTGTGTGTGTGTGTGTGTGTGTGTGTGTGTGTGTGTGCGTGCGCGCTCTCAAACAGGAGGGCAGCCTGGCACGCACAAGAAATACGCGCCCCTTGCACGCATACTTACATGCTCTTCCCTCGCCAACTGCCTCGCCCTTTTGAGCACCCCAGGCAGCCAAGGCCAAGTGGGAGTCGATCCTGAAGGTGGACGTGCCCGATTTTGTCAACACCGCCAACATCGACCTTTCGGACAACTGGGTGTCTGGTTACTCGAACAAGCAGAGGAATGTGGACGATATTGTCATCATGTGAGTCGAGCTATGGCCCCGGCACAATGACGCCAGGGCAATGCATCTGGGCGTCCTGTGCAGTCAAGTCGAGCAGCGCGGGGTGCCCTGTGTAGAAAGTGCGGGCAGGTGCAGGGAGGCGGCAGCTGGTCTCGGGCAGCCAGCAGCCTGCCTGCAGCATGCGCCGCCCTCTCGGTCGCACCGGGCGCACCGTCCCCACCAGCTATTTGCCAGTAGCCGCGCTCGCCGCCGCCCGCGGCCGCAACGCATCTGCCAGGTACGGGATGAGTACGTTGTCTGGCGACACGCTCGGCTGGGCTGGGCCCACCTACTTCCGTAACGACGGCAGCAAGTACTCCAACACCCCGGTCGCAGCAGTGATGATGTTTGTGAGCGTCTGAAACTGTGATGGATATCGCCTTGCTTCATGGGGTGCCTTTTTTGGGCCTGGATTGTAGTTTGGTCTGCCGGGATGGCTTGCAGATTCACTGTGTTGGCCCGTTAGCCCCGCGCACCAGCATACACACCGCGTGCTTGCGCCAGCCTCGCAGCGGGCGCGCCTTCAGTCCCCTCCCCACCCCTCAACCCGCTCGTGTTGCTATCATCCCACGACTGACACCACGCAACAGTGGCGCCCACTTGTGCCGTCGAGCGGCCTTGTCCTGCGTGGCACAGCCGTGCTGACCAACAATGCCCTTTGAAAAATGCGACGCACACGGCCGCAGGACAAGAACAAGATCACGTCGTTGGGAGGCCAGGATAATTTCAAGATCGTGGTGCTCCATGAGATGGGGTGAGTAAAGTCGAATGTGATGTCACACTTAAGGCGAGAGCTTGGAGGGCGGCGCGGCGCGTGGCATCGACGCCTGGCCCCACACGTCAGGGACGTGGTCGGCGCATGCGCCAATCCGGCCCACGAGCAGCCGCTGCGGCGACTGTGTTGCCGCGGCGGCCATTGTGCAAACCGACGTCCTGCCTCACGCCCTGCCCTTGATGCAACGCCTGCCAACCTGGTCAGGCACGCGCTGGGCCTGGGCACCGTCGACGACAGGATCGGATGCATCAAGAACTGCGTCGCCGGCAGCAAGAGCAACAACTTCTGGCAGGTGTGCAGGGCTTGTGCAACCTGAGGTCGGGTGTACTTCACAACATCTTTGGCTTTGCTACCCACCTGCTCAGCAACCCTGGATTTCCCAAGCCTACCTCAAGCAGGCCCGCTCTAGAGCCGCATCCAGCCCCCCCTGTTCCTGCACACCTCGCCGCACGCTCGCACTTTGCCCAACCTCCCCTCAAAGCCGCGACCCTCGGTTTGGCGCAACACACCACTCCCCCCCTTCGTTCCACCCCCCGGCAGTGCAAGAACGCCAATGCCAAGTACCTCTCCATCGGCTGCAAGACCCAAGTACCGATTGAGACCGAGATGGGAGATGGCTCTGGTGAGAGTGCTTGTGCTCAACCAGGCGCAACATCGCACACAGCTGTGCGCTTGTCCCCCCAACCACACCCCGCGGCCCAGTTTTGCTTGCGGCTACAGCAACTGCGCAACTTCGCCGCAGATTTTTAGCAATCATCGGCCTGCCAACCGTGTGCAAAATGACCGCAGGCTGCGGCCATTGGTCAGAGACCAAGCTCAAAACCGAGCTCATGACGCCGGTGAGTCATCCAGTCTTCCCAGGCAGGGCGAAACTGCTGGAGGGCGGCGTCGTCGCTCGAATTGCGCGAGGGCTGTTGTCAGACCAGCACTAGTGGTCGGGGTGCACTGCCAGGTGCATCCGGTCGTTCTCAACCCGAAAGGGTTGCAGCAGAGAGCATTTGGGTCACGAAGAGGGCATGCAGGCATCCATGTGCGCACGCATGCGCACACGTACACACACACACACACACGTGTGTGGGGGCGCGCACGCGCGCGCACGTGTGTGTGTGTCTGTATGTGTGTGCTCTCCTCCCTTTTTAGGTGTTTGCGCCCTGCGTTTGCGCGCACATACACAACACACACCTACTCCATGACGCACACGCATGCGTCCTGCGCCCACCTGCACACTATCATTTTTATGACCTCGTGCAAACCAGGTGCTGGATGATGGTGTCCCGAACCCCCTGTCTGTAGTCACGATTGGAGCCCTGGAGGATATCTATGGTGGGTGCGTGGTTCCAGCATGTCTGGGTGCATGCATGCGTACACATTAGGCACGTGCGCGTCTGTGCGTGCATGGTGGGGCCACTGTGAGACGCTCTCAGGGGCAATGTGCGAAAGCTCGATTTGAAAGGGGGGAGGCTTGGGGATGAGGTGTTCGCTGGGGTGCAGAACAAATCAATTTTTATTGTGGCTATGCTGCCAGCAGCTGTAATCCAGGTGGTATCCCGGCGGACCCTAGCTGGGTGGCGCAGTGAGGGGCTAGTCGTAATGCGGCCACCAAAAAGCTGCCAACCTTGTCGCATGCACACAGACCCCCCCAGCCCTCGCTCCTACTGGCTTGACCACAATGTCTCCAACCCCCCTCATTTTCTTCTGTGTCCTTACCCTGCTTGGACCACGCATTCACCACGCAATACCCAACAGGCGACGGCAGCGTCGACTACGGCCAAGCCGATGCGTTCAGCTGCCAGACCAACATCGTCGCCAGCGTCGCCGCCACAACCCAGCCCACCGGTTACGAAATCAAAGATCAAACCATCCGCCCCACCGCCTACCCTTATGACGTCGTGGCCCCCACGGAGCCTGGGACCGCCAGCCCCGCGGCTGCTGTCGCGGCTGCAGGCGTCACCCCGATCGATTTGTCCGCGTACCAGAAGCTGCTTCAGCAGCTGGAGGCTCAGAAGTATGCCAACAACCCCTTTGTCAAGCCTGGGGAGCAGATCCCGCGGCCTCTGTGATCTGATCGGTACATGCCGATGCCCAGCCGTGTTGCCTCGTAAAACGGACCACGCAAGCGGCAGCGATCTCGCCCGCCCCCGGAGCTGCTCGTGTGTCGTTTGAGCTTGTGCCGCTGGCCACAGCCAGGGGCCGGCGGTCTTCGCGAGTGTGCATGAGCATTTGCAGGCTTGACGCCTGCATTTTCTTCTTCTTCCCATCATCCTCAGTGGGGGTTACAGAAGGGGATTGTCTGTCCTCGTTGCCACCTGCACGGATCTGATCGAGGCGTTGTTGGCGCGTGTCGCATTCATGAGAGCTTGCATTCTACTGGCGGCCTGCCCCTCTGGGCGCCTGGTGTCGGCATGTATCCTGTGCAGGCCAGAAAGATTGTTGCAGATACAGAAGGGGTACATCTCTGTCGTTGCGACGAAGGGTTGGGGGTTGGAACCCCACCCATCCGTTCCAATGCCATTCGCCTTCCTTTCTCCATTGCGTTTGAACGACCCGCACCACCGGCTTGGCTCGTCCTGTGCTGCCCCCCCCCCCCGCCCGCACTGGCGCGCCCTGCACATGCACTGGCGCGCCCCTGGGTACGGGCAGCCCAACCTGCGCCCGATTCAACCAGCGGCTCGGCCGATCCCTGTCGCTGCTGAAGCTTGTCGCCCTGTTCAGCTACGGGCCGGTCTGCAGCCGCCCCGTCCGCCGAACGACCCAACAAGGCATTGCGGGGTACGGCGGAGGGGGCGGCTTCCACCCGCTCGCAGCTGAAACCTCGCAGCGGCAACCCCTGATGTCATGGCTTTACGCCCTGGTGTTCACGTGCACCAAGGACCCGCAGCACCTCCTCCTCTAGCAGCTGTGTGCTGTTCACTATTAAGCGCAAGCCCCATCGCCAGAAACGCCGCGAAAGCTGCGGCGGAGCCTGGCACTGCTGCTGCAGCCGCCGTCGCATGCATGGCGCCTCATTTTTGCGTGCAGCGTCAACCACTGGCCCTGCAGCGCGCTTGCGTCCGCCTGGCCCGGTATGCCCTGACACTGGGTTGCTGTCCCGGTGCGCTCAACTGGAGTGGCAACCCCGCTGACCGCCTCCTGATGCCATTGCTTCATCACTCCCAAACAAACCCATCCAGGACCCATCTGCTTTTGTTGCATCACACACAGTATCGCTCGCGCACATTCGTCTAGGGTTTGCTCAATGTCCATTGGCAGGTTGGCCTTCTGTCTCATGTGCATCCTCTCACAGCCTAAGAGAGGATCAACCAGTCTGAAACGCTTCACCTGTTTCCCATCTGGCGTGATCATGGCTGTTCCGCTGTTACACTGCCTCCCTTGCGCGCGCGCACAGCTCGCTGCGCGTCTTGAATTCTGTCCTATCACGATGCAGCCCAAGCCCAGCAGGCCCTTGAGCACAACGTGTTTTCAGACGGTAAAAACAATCGTGCCCCCTGCAATCCAAGTGCATAGCGCACGTCTGAAGGACGAGCGCCCGCCATGTGCTCATGCGGCTGGCCTGCTTAGTGCCTGTTGCGGCAGGGGTGGATGTGCGTTCGGGTGCACAACGGGCAGCGCCCCTGCATGTGGTGAGGATGGTGCATGCTTGGCGACAGCCAACGCGGCAGAGCGCAAGGGCTGCTACATGCATGCGCTAGCCGGCTTGCACATTGTGTTGTGACTGCTCATCCAGGGCACTCTCACTTGCCCAGCGTGCGGCGTGCAACAGCCATGGTGAGTGCGGTGTCCGATGCGCCATGGCCCTGGTTGTGGCATGCTTTTAGCGCTATACTCAGGAGGCGCCATCACACCCCCTGCAAGCTCTTTCCCTCCAGCTGCGCCATCCGTCGCCCTTGCTGCAATTGACTTGGGCTGGCGAGCACAGGTTGCGCAACCAATTCTGCCTCCTCAAGCGGGTTTGCCTGCAGTAGCCGGCTCTGGATGTGTAACGATGCACCTTGCAAAAAACATCTGCAAAACGAAATCGCTGCAACAATTCGCATGGGCGGAGGTTGCATGCGTGAGCCCACCGGCCCACGTGGTGTCGAGAATCCTATGAATGAGTCTGGTTGCAGATGCGATTGGTAGTGGTTGAGCAAAGCAGGGACGTCCATTGCCAAGTTGTGGCAGTCCGATGCCAAAGGACCTGTCCCGCATCTCATCGGCCAATGGCACGGACCCTGTGGGCCGCCTGCTGAGAGCGGCAGGCCGTCCTGGGCGCAGCTGCGCGCCACTTCTGCAAGCAGCCCCCAGCGCAGGGTGATGCGGCCACCAGCTTCGTCGCTTCATCGGCAGCAACACTACCCGTAGGTTGCAATCACAAACCTACATACTTGCTACTCTATATGCTGTTGTCAGCCAGGTATTGTCGAAATGTCACAGCTGCGGTTTTCACAGCGAGAAGGTCTGCGGCTCTGAGTCGCTACAAGCAGGACCAGAGCAGTGCGTCGTCACGCGCACTGACAAGCGGCGTGAACTCCAGGGGAACCCGGGTGGCCACAACGCAGCCAGGATTATATAACGACACAAATGCGCCAGTGTAGGCTGTCTATGTCCAACTCCACTATTACCTGCATGCGTAAGCGCCGGCGCCCTTTGAGTCCAATGATGGCAACTGCAATTCCACCAGATCCACGGCTGCTGAACGCCTCTCTCATGTGAAATCTCATCTGAAACCGTGCTGATCTGTCAGCTATTGCGCAGTCATCGAAAAGTTCTCTGCGGGTGACTGGTGCCGCTCGGGTGCAGCACTGCGAACTCTCGCTTTCTGGGACCACGAACAGCTCTGCTTTGGAGATCAGCTCGATTTTACAGATCTTGCAACAGTTTTAGTTGTGAATTATCACATCTGTCCGTTGTCTCGGGTCCAGCTCGCGACACCACTGGGCTGAAAGCGGCCTGGGACGGGTGTTCTGGCAACAGTTGTTCTCAGAGGTTTCAAGGTTTATAGATGGTTTATTGGTGGGTGCATGGGCTCAGAGATTGCGTTGGCACTGCGCTGGGCTGACGCGCTCTCCGCTCACCACCGCTCGCCCACAATGCGGCAGGCTCCTGAACCACCGCCTGACGGGTGATCACTCTTCCGTACTACTTCATATGCCATCTAATGGGCGCGCAGAATTCTGAGGAGTTTTGAGCGGCTGGGGTGTTGCGCAAGGGGCAATGAGGGACGGCCCCCTGCCGTCGCAGCTGCTGCTGGCAGCAACGCTGTTACTTCTGCTGGCTGCCGCCGCTGCACCTGCAAGAGGTGAGTGATTGTGGCTCACAGAACTTGACTTGTCCAAACAGAGGCGCCATGCTATTGATACGTAGATTTTTCAAGTTGAAAGTAGCTGCCCGACGTCCCCAGTCGGATGCAGCAGGAGTGTCCAGACGCCACAACAGCTGGGGGCGGTTTGACTTGGGTCGAAACCCGCCTCCCCCCGCCCTTTGGGCATGCGCCACGCCCAGGCGCTGAGAGGCGCGTCCGATGTCACATGTATGCAGCCCTCATCGGCCACCATGCCCCCCTGCCCCTCACAACGCATGGCCCGCGAACAAAATTTCCGAACCAACAGCCAGCGTAGCTCTGGCCGCCGCGCCCGACGCGCGCCTGGCGTCGCCGGCGGCCGCCCCGCCGGCCGCAGCGTCAACGAGCGGCGCCGCCGGCAGCGCTGGCAGCAGCGACGGGGCTGCCGTCTTCCGTTCGTCAGCCGTCGGCGCCGCCGGCAGCCGGGCAGTGGCAGGTCAGTGGCTCGTGACCTTTCGGGTGAACACCAGCGACGTGAAAGCCGCAGCAGCAGCCGCCGCCACCGCTTCCACCGCCAGCGCAACCGCCGGCGCGCGGGCGGCGTCCCCCGCCGGCGTCCCGCCCAGCAGCGCGGCTGCGCTGCAGTCCGCGCGCCTGCGCGTGCAGGCGGACGTGAAGGCGCGCGTCATGCGGAGCACGGGCGCCGCGCAGGGCGCGAGGGTCGCGCGCGACTTCTCCCGGCTGCCTGTTTCGCTCGTCAACCTCGGCGCCGCGTCGGCGGTGGAGGCACTGCGTGCGGACCCGTCGGTTGCGTCGGTTGAGCCCAACCGCTACAACTTTCGTCAGCTGGGGCAGAGCCTGCCGCTGATCAACCAGCCCCTCGCGGCGGCGCAGGGCTTCAAAGGCGCCGGCTGCGCAGTGGCAGTGCTTGACACTGGTGTGTTTGCCTCAAGGGCGTGTGCGGCCCTGAGCCTGGCGCAGGGCAGACTGAATGCCGTGGCAGGAGGCTTGCTCAGGTTCAAGTTAACGGCCCACACACGCGATTAATTTTCCCCGCCACAGCCCGCCGCAGACGCTGGGCGTCTGCTGGGGTACGGCGCATGCGCTTAATTGTAGTGCGATGTGCGCGGCCGCCTGTGCAGCAAACCCCCGCTTCGCCCACCTCACTCTCTTCCCGCGGTCTTCGCTGGCTATTGGTCGAAGGTGCGGACTACACCCACCCAGACCTCGGCTCGTGCGCCGCCCCGGGGGACCCAGAGCCCTGCCGTGTGGCGTATGCAAAGGATTTCACCCCGTTGGACGATGGCGCGATGGATGACGACGGTGAGCCACTTGGCGGATTGGCGGGGCGGCGGGGTTCTGGAAACTAGGGTATTATGCTGGGGTTTGCTGTGGCTGCAGCATCCCGAAAGGGGCGTGTTCTTGGAGGGGGGCCCCTCGGGGCCAGCCCGGCATGCAGCAGCGTGCTGCGCAAGGGCACCGCGTGGAGGGCCTGCTTGCGCCGCTGGCCGCCTCCCCTGTCAGGATCGCTGGGCGCTGACCAATGACTGCTGTGCTGCCCGCGGTGTCTGTTTCTTTGGCAGGACACGGCACCAATGTAGCGTCCATCGTGGCTAAAACGGCGCCTGGAGCAAAGCTCCTTGTGCTGGTGGGTGTCCTTGTTCGACCAGCACCTCAGGACAGCAGCACCAGCGGGCGCAGCGGGCGCGTGTCCGCGGCCCGGCACGAGGCCTGGCTTGGCGGTGCCTTGCGCTGGCTGCTGTGCACGCTTGCTGCGGCCCTGGCAAACAAATGCACTGCCCGCGCTCGGCTCAGGAGCCGCTGTATGAGAGGCACACACCCTTGGCCGCGTGGATTGCGGGCGGCGCCGTTTCACCTGCTGCAGGCAGCGGCTCGCGGGTCCTTGCCTGCACAACCCCAGAATGTCACCAAACTCCTGCAGCTGACGAGCCCGACAACCCCTGGCCAAAGCTCATCTATTTCCTTCCGCTCTCCCTGCACCAACCCCGGCCGCACCGCCACCTCGTCTCAGGACGTCTTCAAAACTGACAAGTCAGGCAGCTACGCCATGGACTCGGACATCCTGGCGGCGGTTGACTGGGCCCTTGCAGCAAAGGCGAGCGGCACATACAACGTCTGCGCAATCAATCTGTCCATGAGCTCCTCCTCATTCTCCGCGACCCAGTGCGCGGGCGGCGCGTACGACTCCGCGTTCGCCGCCGCGCGCGCGGCGGGCGTCATCTCCGTCGTCGCGGCCGGCAACGACCGGCAGAAGGGCGCGCTGCCCAGCCCGGCGTGCGTGCCCGGCGCGGTCAGCGTGGGGGCGGTTTATGATCGGAACAGCTCATCCAGGACGTGGAGCAAGTGCACGGACAGCGCGCCGGCGCAGGACCAGGTCGCCTGCTGGAGCAACAGCGCGAGCTACCTCACCCTCCTCGCGCCCGGCGCCGTCATCAACGCCGGCGGCTGGTCGATGGCCGGCACGAGCCAGGCCGCGCCGCACGTCGCGGGTGCTGCGGCCGTCCTCAAGGCTGCAGTGCCCACGGCGACGGCGGACGAGATCGTTGTGGCCCTCGCCTCGAGTGGCAGGCGCGTCACCGACCCCGGCAATGGCATTACCACGCCCCGCCTCGACGTTGCGGCCGGCGTCGCGGCGCTGAAAGCGGCCGTGCCGCCCACGAATGGGGCTCCTGTGGACTCCGAGGCGCCAACTGGGTCTGTATCCATCAACGGGGGCGCGCAGTCCACGACCAGTCCGGACGTGTCCCTGGACATAACAGGGTCGGACAAGGCCGGCGTGGCGTCCATGTGCGTCACAAACGCCGCCGTCTCGGCGGCGGAGTGCGCGCCGTACGAGCCTTTCACTGTCACCAAGGCCTGGCGCCTTGCCGACGGCCCCAACGGCTACCGGACTGTCTTCGTCTTCCTCAGGGATACGCGGGGCAATACGATGGCCGCGCCGGCGCGGGATACGATCATCCTCCAGGCGCCTGCCGGCGTCGCACCCGACACGACGCCGCCGACGGGGGCGGTCCAGATCAACGGCGGCGCCGCGACCACGCCGAGCGCCGCGGTCAACCTCACGGTATCCGCGTCCGACCCCTCCGGCGTCGCCGCCATGTGCGTCAGCAACGCGGCCGTGTCGGCGGCCGCGTGCGCGCCGTTTGAGCCCTACGCGGGCCTTAAGCAGTGGCGGCTGGCGGACGGCGGGGACGGGGCGCGCACAGTGTATGTGTTCTTGCAAGACGCGGTCGGCAACACCATGGCCACGCCAGTGCAGGCCTACATCATCTTGCAGACGCCCGCTGACGCACCTGACACGGTGGGGCGGGTGCACATTATTGCAAAAATCAAAGCCCGAATGGCAACCCATGGCTGTGCTGGGTTGTCGTGAGACTCGTTGAAGAGCAGCAGCAATCAGCCGCGTGCATGCCGCAAAGGGGTTTGCCGTTGTACTCGCCTATCTTGCTCTCTGGCCTTTGCTGCCGCTGTGCCTGATAGCCAATTTGCCCAGCACTGTTGCTGGTCCTCACTCAAACCTTTCCTTCCAAAGCCATCGTCCCAACTCCCATGCAACCAAACCAACCTGCCCCGCAGGCGCCGCCAACCGGCTCTGTCCAGATCAACGGCGGCGCTGCCTCAACCAACTCGACGTCGGTCACCCTGACAATCGCAGCCTCGGACGCCTCTGGCGTCGCCTCCATGTGCATCACAAACGCGGCCGTCGCGCCCGCGGCCTGCGCCGCGTACGAGGTTTTCACAACCACCAAGGCATGGCGCCTCGCCGACGGCGCCAACGGGCCGCGGACTGTCTACCTGCTTCTGAGGGACACGAAGGGCAACACCAACACCGCGCCCCAGCAAGCGACCATCCAGCTCGACGCGCCGCCACCCGCCGCCGGCCCCTCCCCGGCGCCCGCCCCGTCGCCGTCCTCTTCGCCGGCGCCGTCCCCGGACCCGGCGGCCGGCCCGACGGCGCGGCTCGTCATCAACGACGGCGCCGCGTTCACTTCTTCGCGGTACGTGCGGCTCTCCATATACGCGGACGGCGCGGCGCCCCGAACTACCAGGATGTGCGTCAGCCAGACCGCCGCGAGCGCCGCGGACTGCCCGGCCTGGCCGAGCTTCTCGTCCTCGAAGCGCTTTAAAATCTCCGGCGGCCAGGGGCCGCAGACAGTCCGCGTATTCTTCAAGGCGGCGGCGGGGGCCGCCGGCGCGGCCGCGCGCGCGAGCTTGGCAGCGTTGCCCCCAGCCGTGGCGACGATTAGGTACGACGCGCGGGCGCCGAGCATGCCGCAGGCAGACATGCAGCTCAAGGCGGCGCCAGGGCCGGGGTCAGTGACGCTTTCTTATGCCCAGGCCGCGACAGACGCAGAGTCTGGCGTTGCCAGCTACCTCGTGGCGAGCAGCAAGGGCCTCGCGCCGCCGAAGCGCTGCGTGCCGCCGCCGTCGGGCAAGAGCCAGGTGCGGTCCCTGGTCAGGCAGCCGTCGGGCGCGGCGGCGGCCGGCGGCGCGGGCGCCCCCTCGGACGCGGTGGCGCTGGGCGGCCTCAGCCAGAGGACGGATTACGCCTTCCGGGTGTGTGCGGTGGACCGCGCGGGCAACGTCGCTCCTGGTGTCACTGTGGTCACCCGGACGGCGTGAGGGCAGCGATTACGCACCGTCGCTCTGAGCCGGCGATGAAGCCTTGAGGGCGCTGCAGCTGTGCATGCTGCGCCTCTGCCACAATCTGCATCGGGCATGGCGCGCCCCTTACGGGTGCAGTCTGTTGCACAAAGCCCCACAAAGACTAGTGTGTCTGCAATTGTCTAAGGAATCCGTCCGCCTGTTGGCGCTTGCTGCCCTGGGGGTTGTCGCCTCGCCACGTGCGCCCAACGTGCACTTGAATGCATGGCGTGGCAAAACTGCCAGGCGCGCAGCTCTCAAGGCGGCTGGGCGTTAACATTATCTGTTCAAAACAGGGACACAATTGCATTCAAGCGGTGCTCCCACTCGTCACCGCTCAGGGGCATGGCACGCGCAGCTGCCATGCAGATACTGCAACGCCTATCCAAACATACATGGCGCCAGACAATCCGGTTCCGATAGGAAACACGGGCGCGTGCTTGTTTGATGCGTGCGCGTTCGTACGTGGTTTACTTCTGCAGCTATTCCTTTGTGATAGCTTGCACGAGTCATGGCGCAGCTGGTCCGCTGCTCATCTGCAGTCACCAGGACTGCCACCAACCACGCGGCAACCCCCCAGATTGCCGGCCGTCTGGACACATCCCCCTCTACCTGCACATTGACCGCTCCGAGGTAGCTTGATGGCCCGGCTGCTGATTGCTTTTAGGCGCCCTGGCCCAGTGGTTGTTCGTCTGTGGTCTGGAGCCCGCCCATGGGTGCCATGCAGCACCCCTGGCTGCCGCGTGCCTGTGTTGGTCTGCTGACCCTTTGTGGCCGCTCTGATTTGGTAGTCCGTGTTGACCAGAGGGCGGCCTCTTGTTTTGCGTCAAGGTGCTTGCAACGGCACCACAGATTTGTTCACGATGGCGCCCCGCGCCTGCGGAGAGCGCCGAGAACCCCGTCGTACCGCCTCGTCCCGCATCCGGCGCGCGGTACCTGCCAAGCCGCGCAACGATGCGCGACTGCACGGCGTCGGCTCGGTCGGGGCACCCGCTTGCACGTGCTGCTGGCGGCATTTGTAGGTCCACTGTGCGGCGGCGCTCTGCTGCGTGCAACCCCCTGCTGATATCACAAGCTTTTAGCGGCCGCCCCTCTACGCAGCCTGCAGGTCTGCACGTGATTGGTTTGGCTGAAGCACTCCCATTGCGCAAACTGCTACCGCAGAGGGTGTGGCGTTGCCTTGCCGGAAGAAATTTTTTCAACAGTGCTGCACACGCCAACACTCGCACACCCAAAACAACAGCGTACTGCTCTGGCAACCAGCATGCGGCAGGATTTGGCGCACATCACCTCAACCTTTGCCCCTGGTGACGGCCCCTTCCCTCGCGCCACCCCACGCTGCACTGAATTTCGGTCACTTATGAGACGCGTGGTGCACGCGCCGCACACACAGGCCGGGCACCAAGCGGCCGCGCAGCTGCGCACAGCATGGCGATGGCGCCCTCACTGGCGGCCCTAGGGAGCGCGGGCCCATTGATAATAAGAGGCATCCCTTTTCCATGGGTTTGGCATGACCTGTGACGCAACACAATGAATAACTTTGGGGCCCCAGCTTGGGCCTGCTGCCACCGGCATTGCTGCTTTGATCGCTGCACCTGGCTTGAAACGGGCGGGGTTGAAGAGCTGCGATTTAACCCGGTTTGACCTGTCTAGTGTAATGTTCATCCAAACACAAACATCACTACTACACACATGGACATAGCACAGAGGATATGCCTTGGAGG